ATGGTAAAAAGATAAAATTGACTTGTTTTTGTTCCGGAAGTTCGACCAAAATCGACAAGGGATTGATCATTTACAACCAATTTATCACACCCCTATAGTTAGTTCAATTCAAGAAAGTGATTCGAATGTTGTGACCTTTTCCGAGAGAATTGAAATGTTTGGATATTTTGTCCAAACATTTATAGACGAAATGACAGATAATTTTAATTTCCATTTTGATAAAATCGTTGAAAAAGATACAAATAAACTATTATTAACAATGTTAAACAATTTAAAAATACAATGGAAAAATATATTTCAAAATATTGGCGTGTCCGTTAATATGAATTGTGCTCCGCGTAATCGACTAAACGCCAACTTTGATGAACGCAGAGAAAAATATACCGACATAGAAAAATTAATGGAAATATTTTATTTATCAGAAATTGCTATTTGTGATACTCAGAATTACGTTGACATACCAACAATGTTATCAGGATGCGAATTTTTTAAGATTGAAGTTGAAACACTGTTTGAAAAACTCAATAGTCTTGATTTAATACAAAAATATGAATTAAAATTAAAGAAGACACATCAAATCAACGAATCTGAATATAATGTATATTTAAAAAAGAAACGGCTTTTATACGAAAATTGAATTTAAATGACGTGTGGAAAATATTAAAAACTAATAAACTCAAAGAGCTTCAAAATAGTAGTACGAGTGTTAATTACAATATTTCCAACAACAACTGATGTTGAAAGACTTTTTTCAAAGATGAAAAATGCTCGTTCTCAAAACATGTATTTGGTTACTTCATTTGAGCGTTTGTTTTATTCGGTAAAAAATTCAGAATGCTACTATGAATTAAAATAGCATATTATTAATTATTAATTATTAATTATTATTTATTATTTATTATTTATTATTTAAAGTAATTTAATAATAATTTAATAATAATTTAATAGTAATTTAATAACTGGAAGAATTAATAAAGATAAAATTCACATAATTTCAGAGCACTAAGGGGCCTCAGAAGCCAAGAGTTTTTTCTTCCAAGCTAACGATCCCGGGTTCAATTCCCGGTTAGTGCATTTTTTTTTAATTTTTTAAATTCAAATTTATTAATAATTAATTATTAATAATTAATAATTAGTATATTAGACTGATATTATTTTTATTTATTTACTTGTTTTTACAACACCACAAGGAACACTTTTTTGGCATTTTTTTTGAAAAGCACTCGATTTTTACATTAGTTTTTATTGTTTGGATGTATTTTTTCGAAAATTAGTGATGCGAGCGGACACGTTTATAAAATAGCGACGACCAATTTTTACAAGTTTAAAAGATCAAAAAGCGCAAATTTTTTCCTTCAGTTCAACTAGATTTTTAATTTGCATTTTTTGTTATTATCGAAAAGTTACTTTCCTCGCTAATTTTTTTTAACTTATTGAAATGTGAAAGACGAATTATCGTGGTGGAATCAAACTACGAAAAATTTTGCCATTTGTACTTTCTATTATGCAATTAGTTGAACCTAACCCATTTGAAACACTCCTTCCAAAGTCATTTTCAAAACTCGTCGACTTACTTACAACATACATTTGCAGAATGTCAAATGCACAATTCACACTCAAAAAAATCCTCGCATTTATTCAAGAAATGCCAAAAAAAACAACTCGAGTCAGTGGAAACTGAGTGAGACGGAGCATTGAAAAGAAGGCTTATAAAGACGCACTCAAACAGTCTGTTTGTGCACCGTTCCACCCACTTTCCAAGTCCTCCCTTGGCGTGGATCCCCCCTGACCACCCCGCTTGCGGGGGGAACCACATCCGCGTCCACACAGTACGGACAAGGTAAGTGGGTGACATGGGGACGCACAAACAGTGGCTGAAAAGTGGACTCCCTTCAAAAAACACTTGCGGCAAATATTTTATTTTGGTAAACGGGTGAGGGCTAGAAAGGATAGTGTCACAATTATCATTTAAACAAACGCCACATCATAATATTTAATTTAAAACATTGAAAAACACAAGAAGCATTTGTGGTCTAAGGGCAGAATTCCACCCTTCCAAGGTGGAGATCCGGGTTCGAGTCCCGGCAAATGCATTTTTACTTTATCAAACAAATGGGTTTATATTATATTTTGATATTATATTAAACAAACAATGTCTATTATATCAAATTTTTCAAAATTAAAGAACAAAAATTAAATAATTGTGGATAATTTATGTGTTTTGTTTAGCTTTGTAAATTGTTACATCTTGAACTAAAGAAGTGAATAGAATTATAATATATTTACCTCTCTCCAAAGTGTTTAAATACGACAAATAAGATTTAAGTTTGGAATTTTAATCATATATTCGGCTTTAAAAGATATTTCAATGATAATAAAAAAACAATATGATAATTCGTGATATATGGTTTTTTTGGACACTCTGATCAACAAAACTAAGTCACACTATACTTGTATATTACTTATGAAACAAAACAAGAAATATTACACTTGTTTGAAAGTGTTAGTTATAAAAATTACATTTTATGTTGTTGTTTTGTAAGAATAACACTTAAAAATATGTATAAGAAGATAACGTGGCCGAGTGGTCCAAGGCGTATGACTCGAAATCATTTCTCATTTGAGGCGTAGGTTCAAATCCTGCGTTGTCGTTTTGGATTTTTGTCCAAAATTTACAACTTCAATTTCATTTTTTTATAAAAGTTTAATTTAACCATAATACTTTATATAATTTATTAATTAAATTAAATCAAAATAAACAATTTTACCAATTTTTTACAAACTTTGATTTTAATGAATAATATTAGTCATACCAATATTATTATTATAATATAATATAATATTATATAATAACAGAAATTATATTAATATATTTCAACAATTAATATAAAGTGTTACAGTTAGTTTCATTTTGTTTAATAATTTTTTCAAAATTATAATGTTTTGTTTCAAAATAATGATAAAAATGTACCTTTAATCAACACTGTTTCAAAACAATAATTTATTGTTTCAAAAGAAAAACAATTGTTTCAAATTAATGAATAATTGTTTCATTAAATGATTTATTTTACATTAATTATGACTAATTGTTGAAAAAACTTGTTTTTTTGTTTCAAATTTTTAATTATTTGTTTCAAAACTGTGTTTGAATTCTCAAAACAATAAACACAAACAAACAATGAAAACAAACACATTTTGACAATAACTAACTGGGAAAATAAAAAATGTATATATTTAAACACCATTTAAATCTATATTTTCAATGGCAGTTAACACTTTTCAGTTTATTCATAGAGACAATGTCCAATCATTTTTGAATCAAGAAGATCCTCATCAACAACCAGTTCTTGATGTAGTACCACTTGCACAATTGAGAACTACAGATGAAATTTCAAGATCAAGTAGTTTGCGGAACACTGAAACACAACCATTTGGAGACACACAAATTACAACAAAACAAACAGAACAAAAAAGAATCTATGTTAAAGCGACCCAGTCCCAGAAAAACAGACTTTATAATGAATACTGTGAACACGGAGAAATCAAAGATTGGCGATATTATCAAGAAAAAAGCAAAATGAATGAACAAATGGTCAAACGGTATTTGAAGTATCTGAAAGGTGGTATTGATATTACGCAAACTCAAAAAGTGGGAAGAAAACCAAAATATTCTCCTGAGTTACTCACCGAAATAGCCAATAAATTAACAATAGAAAATAAAACACTAAGAGAAACCAAAAAACATTTGGCAGATAGTGTTTTGAATGAAATAAGAACTAATATAAAAGTAGTGTCGATTTCAACAATAAGTCGATATATCAAAGACCCAGACATAATGGAAGTAGCCGAACTTCCACCTTTAAGTTTTACCGAGTGCACAATAAGAGGTCCCAGAGCGAACACACAGGAAAACAAATTACTACGAGTACAAAAAAGAAGAGAACTTGATCAATTTATTTCTTCGGGTTATCAAGTTGTTTTTGTCGACGAGAGTCACTGGAAGGTTGGCAATGTCAGATCCAGAAATTGGGGTGTTAGAGGAAAAAAACATTTTCGTGAACAACCATTGTCGACATTTAATTTATCGTGCGTCTGTGCTATAAGTGATACCGGTTCAAAATATTGTACTTTATTTAACCAAACTATTAATGGGGAAATATTTATTAAATATTTTAAATTCCTCATTGAGGCATTCACAACGGATGGAAGCAGGATTGTATTTGTCATGGACAATGCTTCAGTCCACAAAGATGACATTGTTCAACTTGCAGAAGACAGAGGGTGCAAAGTGTTGTTCAATGCGCCTTACTCACCAGAGTGCAACCCTATAGAAAACGTATTTGGAATATGGAAAGTCCGAGTTGGAAAATTGAATAATGTGACTATAGCAGATATGATTGAAAACATCTCAAAGTGTTTTGATGAAATTAGTCCAATTGAAATAAGACGAATTGTAATGAATTTTATTAATATTGTTTCTGTGAAAGTTTTTGCAATGGAAGATCTTTAACTGGTTTTTAATTTTTTGTGTTTATTGTTTTGAGAATTCAAACACAGTTTTGAAACAAATAATTAAAAATTTGAAACAAAAAAACAAGTTTTTTCAACAATTAGTCATAATTAATGTAAAATAAATCATTTAATGAAACAATTATTCATTAATTTGAAACAATTGTTTTTCTTTTGAAACAATAAATTATTGTTTTGAAACAGTGTTGATTAAAGGTACATTTTTATCATTATTTTGAAACAAAACATTATAATTTTGAAAAAATTATTAAACAAAATGAAACTAACTGTAATATTTAATTATAATTTGATAATTTATCGAATGAAATGATATTTAACTTTTTAATTTCATAAAACAATTTAGATTTCTTCTTTTATATATACACATAACCATGTCAATTCAATCTAATGAATACAACAAAAACGTTTTTGCTGATCCAACACAATCAAGGTATTGTCTCCCAATTCCAGAAGCACTACTATATGCTAAAATGGAATGCCTAAACCGCCATCTTCCTTTCACTGAATATCCAAATCCATTGCCAAAGAAATTTATTCCTCTTTCTTTTCCAAAAGAGTTTCAAAACATTCGTTCAAAAATAATTTCCACAATTTTTGGTCAAGCTGTCGGCGACGCTGTTGGTCTTTCAACTGAATTTCTCTCTAAAGAACAGGCCGAATTGATTTATAAAAACGAGAGAATCACATTTTCATGTTATTTAAAAGATACTCATCGTTCCAAATGGATGAATATGGACTGGAAATGTGTCGACTGGACTGACGACACCGATCAGTCGCTTCTAATACTCGACTCTTTGGTAGCAAACAATGGAAATTGTGTTCCAGAAGATTTTGCAGCACGTTGTCTCTATTGGTACAATTTCGGGTTTTCCGAAGTCGGCGATATAAAGCCGTCGGATGTTGGCATCCACACGCGAAGTGTTTTGTCGTCTAAAAACTTCAACAAAACGCCCATCAAAAATTCAATGGAAGTTTGGGGAAAAGGAGGACGGCGTGCGTCTAATGGAAGTGTGATGAGGACTTCGATTGCTGCGATTCCTTATTTTTGGGATATCGAAAAGGTGGAAGAGACGACAAACACATTTGGGAAGGTGACTCACTACGACCCACGATGCCAGGCCTCTGTATCTATAATAGTCAATTTAATTGGGGAATTTCTACGAGGCGAGTGTGATTGCCAAAAAGCGATCAATTTCGCACGAGAAAGAGGAAGAAAGTACATAGAAAACAACAAAGAGTTTTATTCTGATTTCGATAAATTCACAAATCCACAAAGTTTAGAACAACTTGAGTTGAATAAATTGATTGGATACACTTATAAGCCAGTTGGATGCGCAGTGTGGGGAGTCAGAGAGGCACAAATAATGAAAAATGATGGAAAAGGTGACAAGGAAATAATCGAAAGTGTGTTGATGGCTGTGACCTATGAAGCGGGAGATGCAGACACAAATGCGGCAGTTGTTGGAGCTGTATTGGGTGCTTACATTGGCAATTTGGATATGTTTCCAAAAGACTGGATTGAGTTTGATCACAAAAATTGGCTTATTGAGAGGATCAATAGAATGTTGAAATTGATGAATTTGGAAGAAATTAAAGATGGAGAAATTTAAATGATAAATTCTTGTTTTTTAATTTTATTTGTACTTTTTTAATCAAAAGTGTTCTTTATAAAACACTCAGAAACTTTCCAAATGAAGTACAGTAAAACCTCCAAAGAGTGGGAAAGTTTAAAATTTTTATTTCTCAAGAGCGGGCATTTTTAGCCAATCAAACCCTAATTACCGCTCGATAGAGAACTCTATTTTTAGTTTCATTCTGAAAACGTTTGCTTTTGAGAGAACTTGCTCTTTAGAGGTACCACTCTTGGGAGGTTTTACTGTAGTCATTCAAGAAATTGTGCCAGTTTCTTATAAATTAGTCTTATATCATTGTCGTAATATAATTGTTGTAAAAAATGGTGTAAATTTAACATAATATAGTTAAATATACTATTTTAATTATAAAATGATATTTTTAACTATATGGTATTAATATAATATTAAAAAACGGTAATCTATTTTCAATTATTTTATGTGTTTATTTTTCTTTTTTTCCAAATAAACAATTGATATTTTGAACACCACTAGGTATCTTTAATTTCTTTAATTTAGTGCAGTTCAAGAAACAATTATATCCGATATGGGTCACTTCATCGGGCATTTCAACGTGTTGTAAATTAATACATTCTTCAAAACATCTCTCTCCAATACTTTTAAGTGAGTTACCAAATATAATAGAACTCAACTTTTCACACTTTTGAAAAGCAAAAGGACCGACAATTACCACTCCATCTATACCTTCCACCTTTTCCAAATTAACACAAGAAGCAAAACATTGTGTTCCAATCATTGTTAAATTTTGTGGGAAGTGTACAACACTCAAATTTCTACAATTTTCAAAACACGAGACTTGAAGTTTCTTTATGTTTTTTGGCAGTTCAATACTTTCAAGAGTTAAACAACAATAAAAACTTTGAACCCCAAATGATTCGACTGTGTATGGAAAAGTGATTTCAGAGAGAGACGTACAACGTAGAAAACTATCATTTGAAATATCAATGACACCCTCGGGTATATCAATACATTTTAAAGATTCGCAATCGATGAAGCACGACGGTTGAATACTTTTTATCGACTTGGTCCCATATGCAAACACAAATTCAGTCATGGAAAAACAATTTTTGAAAGTTTCTCTATTTAATGTGGTGAGTGACTTTGACATCACGACTTTTTGGAGTTGTGTACACTCGGCAAATGCCTGCCAACCAATTTCAGTAACAGAGTCTGGAATTTCTATTGTATTCAATGAGATACACCCATTGAAACAATTTTCTCCAATACTCTTCAGACCATATTCTAACACTATTTTTGAAAGAGATTTACAATTGGAAAAACACATACTTTTGAGTGACTCGACACTCTTGGGAATATCAAGGTCTAATAATTTTTGACAGCCTGAAAAAGCTAAATAACTTATTTCAAAAAGACGACTTGGCAATTTTATCCAACTTAAGTTTTTACAGTCTTGGAAAGTTCCATAATTAATTTTTGATAGAAGGTTTGGGAATGACAATGTCTTAATGTTCCAACAGAATTTAAAAGCATAATTGTTAATGTGTTTTAAATGTCTCGGGAACTTCACCGAGGTGAGAGAATAACACCCATAAAAACATAGTGACCCGATAGAGGTAAGTCGACTTGGGAAGACTACTTCGACTAATGATCGACATTCAGCAAAAGATTTATCACATATTCGTCTCAGTGACAATGGAAATATAAAAGATGTTAGAGAAGTACATTGAAAGAACGATTCGTTATCAATACATGTGATTGTAGTTGGTATATTTATGGATTTCATTTCTTGTTCATTAAAAAAGCACTTTTCATCGATTTTGGTGACCAAATCAGACAAATGACTGTTGAAAGCAATTTTGTCTTTTTGTGTGTACACAACATTTTTGAAAATAATCGAGTGCATTCGAACACGAGTGTCTTTAATTGATTGGAATTTGTTTTCAGAATACATGTCGAGCATGTTTATAGCAGTTTTGTAGTCAACTTCTTCGTAGACAATAATGCGGTAAAACTCCCTGTAAAAGTATGATGTCAAGTGTTTAAAAGCCAAAAAATTGTCTTTTGGCCAGAGAATTAAAGTCTCTAAATTTTCGAAAAAAATCAGTTTACTTCGGGTAAGAGGAATTGGGTTGTAATGAAACTTAGACATAGTTGAAGCGTATTTCTTACATACTAATTCAAGAGATATGAAGTCTTGGAAAGAAGAAAAGTATTTCGAAACTATCATAATGTGGAAGCCATCTAAATGGTTCATATATTAATATTTTTTGATTATAAAATTGTTTTTATAATATTTTGAGTTTTTCAGTTTGAATTTTGAACGAACAATCAAAACAACTAAAATGACACTATTTTTGTTAATTATTGAACACAAATCAAAAAAATAAAAAACTATTAAATTCAAATAAATGTTTTTTATTTTTATCAACTAAATAATTGAGAAATTAAAAAGCAAAATAAAATAAAACAGTATAAAATAATGTTAATTGGTGGGTGCAATTTGTTATTCACAAAACAGTTGTTTATGTGGATGACAGATTTTAAAAATCGGGCACAAGTTTATGTTTCAAAATACTGATAAATAAACAAAAAATACAGCATAGATAAGAATTATATTTATATTAACAATTATTGATGTATTTTAGATAATAAAAACAATACAATTGATAATTATTTCAGAAAAAAAAAATAAAATCATATAATTTGTAACAGTTATAATTGTTTATGATAATTGAATATAAATTGGTATTTTTATTGACAATATTAAAAACTTTGATGCAGATACATTTTTTTTTAATTTCCAAAAAAACAACAACTTTTAAAAGTTAAAATGTTTATTGACAAAATAAAAATAACATAAGCATTAATGCAAATGATAAGCGTTTGGTTAATATCTTTAATAATACGAAAGCAATTAATTTAGAAGAAAGATGTCATAAATTATTAAAGCAATAAAACTTGGACAATAAAATATTGTTTATTTGATGAACAATAAAGTCATTTACTTCAAGACATAGTAATGCAAACATAAATTGACCGCCCCAATATAATTCAAAATTAATTTTAAAAATATAAAGTGATAATGAGTTTGATTTAATTTGGTTTATAGTTTAAAAAACTATTTTTGATGTTTAATTTATATAGTAAAAATATATATTAAAAATTTATTAATATTTTAATAATTTTTTTAATTATTAATAAAAACCCCATAATTTTTCGAAAATATAAATCATATAATAATTAATAAAAAGTTGATTATTGATTAGCAAGTGATCGAGTGTGACCAACTCAATTCGTCACCAGCACCAAATGCAAGAAGATTCATTTGGCTGAGCTCGTTTGAATAAGACTGATGCTCGTTGAAATAAAGAAGGCCCTGTCCTCTTGACGCCTTTGATCTGCCCGTCGGGCTAGAGGTCTTTGGCCGAAGCAACACGGCTATATTTTTTAAAAGTACATTACCGACGATAATTTGGATAACTTAAAACAAAAAAATTACAGTATAATGTTTTTTATACTTAACATAAAGACAAAGATGTTTGTGTTAATGTTTTATAAAGACAAACACAAAACAACAAAATTTATTAATATAAAAGGGTATGGTAATTTATTATTTAAGAGATGTATACTTAAGATTAATATCAAAATAAGAGTTTTTTTAAAATAATTTAAAAACTTGTTTGCGAATAACGTGTTTTTGAGAAAATCCACATATAGAGGTGTAACTGTTGGTAAAGTTGATTGTATTATATTAACATTAAAACAATGTATAAATAACTAATTTAATCAATTAATGTTTCTGAAGTTAAAACATTTCAATTAATTTTAAAAATTAAAAAAAATATCTTCTTTTTTTTCACAACTTTGTGATTTTAAAAACTTCTCGATATTAATAAACAATTGGATTACTATATAACACAACATTTAAACATGGGTTAACACAGTTTTAGACTTTTTCATTGCAAATATGGCAATAGTCAATAAAAATTGAATTTAAACAATAAATAAATATGTTCAAACTGAAATACAAGACATAACATTAAAGAATGACGGTGATATTTTCAACAAATGTTGTTTAAATATTAGGAACAATTAAACACAATAAAAAAGTTCTTGTCATCTTCGACTCTTTTAAGTGTGCAGAATTTTGGGCAAGTATGTCAAAATTGGACACACTTGATGATGAGCAAACAAATTTCAAATTCTTCAAATTAGATGCAATATATAACAACTAACTGTGATGAAAATATTTAACTTATTCAATTTTTTATTTTTTTACAACCAAAAACTTGTAAAAGGAGCTTAGCGATTCTGAAGTTCTTGAGAAAAAAACTTAAGATGGTATAATATTATATTTATTCCTGCTTTAACGAAATTTATTTCTTCACAACACTTTTAAAATATAAAAAATTTTTTCCAATAGTATTTTTGTATTTATCAAAGTGTCAAGACTCAAAGTTTGAGATTGAGTCTTGACAAATGAATTGTGTTGACAAGTCACGTTGCATACAAAAAAGATCTTATGTCAAACCAATTGTCAGCAAGCATGGTGTTTCACTTGGAAATGTTTGAAATTGTTGCAATAAAACACAACACGCCTTTACATAAGAAGACAGTCAAAACGGTCACATACATCACACTTGACAAGCAAGACGATAAGAAACAAAAACGGTGGGCTTATCAAAATCTCAAGAACAGGAAACCAAAAGGAAAAATATTAACACGTGTTGAAATACGCTCACAATTTGCTCTCATCTGATTGCCATCTAATTGTATTTTCATTGTTGTTTTATTTATCAACTTTAATTCTTTAAAAAATTATACTACCAATTAAAATAAACAAAAAATAGTCAGACAGACTTCAGTGCCTCTCATTTCAGAATGTTGTGCACGCACTCGACCCCTCAACAAGCAGTTCATCGTGCATTGCTGCGTATCTCCTTTTGGCACTGAAGTAATGAAAGTCTTCATCCTATTTTGTGAATTTTATTTGTAACATAGAAAGTGACATACTCTAAGAATGATCTTAGTCGTACGGTCTGATTATGGTTTTAAATTGCCTCATCAATATATAAATTATAAAATTGCTATTTTTATAAATTATGGGTTTGATTTTTATTTATAGTTATATATCTTAATAATAATACTATAATAATAATTGTTCAATTATTAATAATTATATTAACATTAATAATAATTTACAATTCTATCAAACAATAACAAATAATTTATACAAGCAATTGTTAAACAATTCTTTATATTAAATAACAAACAATTTATTGTCAAAACTTTATGTTTCGCAACGGTCGTATTTCAATTAAGTTAATGCCTTATTTATTTAAGTTTAAAATTATTAGGACAATTTTTGAATATTCCATCCATTACTATTTTTTCCATTAATCGATGATTTTACAAGTTTTCTAATGTCTTTGAAAATGTGTTTTTTTATTGAACATAAAGTTTTTTTTGTCAAATCAGTGCAATTAAAATATTCTGTTTAACACCAACGATAATTTTTGTAATAACCAAAACTTTTTAGAAAGTCCAATTTTAAATTTGTAACTTTTTGATTAAAGTGAATTTTTGTGTTTTTAAAAAATACAGTCCCTCTTTAAAATTAAATAAATAAAAATTTAATTTGACTAATTATTATTAATTTTGTACTTTTATGAATAAATGGGAATCTTGGTTTTATTTTTTTGTTAAATTTTGTTTTGCAATTTGGCTTTTTTTCAAAAATCTCATGCCAGATCTAGTGAAGATTATTTCAATTGTTGCTGTGGATGGTTTGTCTTTATCAAATTATTATGATTATCATTTTTAGTGATATCTGCCTCAAAGAATATTGTAATTGTGGTGTTATTAAAACATTTTTCTAAAAGTAATGACAATTTCTATCTCTATATTTTTTTCCAACTTTATTGTTATAATAAATCCATTCACAAAATGTAAATGAAAATGTTACTATTTCACTGGATGTAATTAGTTTTACAGTAATTAATTATTGATGATTTGTTTTAATAAATATAAGTAAAGACCAACAGAAAATAGTCTACAGCAAGAAAATTGTCGTACACTTGTGATTTTAGTATCAAACAAACCAAAAAATCGGGGATAATTTTTCACATATAAAATTTGACTAAACAATCAGAAAAAAATTGGGTTCTGAAAAAATAAAAACCCGACTTAATACAGAAAAATACCTTAAAACAATGTGTACGACTATTTTCTGATGTACGACAGTTTTCTGGTGGTCTTTACGGATTTTTAATTTATTTTCCTTTTTTTTAAAACAAATCAAAAAGACAAATGGCCACAAAATGGGTTTAAGATAAAAAAATTCTATCCATGATATAAGGAACAATCATAAAATAATATTTTTTGTTTTTTTTGGAAAATTTGACTAAATATAATTCAAATCTAATCAATAAACACATAAAAGTAAAAATTTATAAATTTACATATTCAATTAAAAAAACTATGAACCTTATACTTGATAAAAAAAGAGTAAGATTTATAAAAATGGATTTAAAGTAAAGTAATTCTCAAAACAGTGCAACTTTGAAGTGTCAGTACAACTTTGTTTATAGTATAATTATAATAAAAAATAATATGTTTTTATTAAATAAAACAAAAAAAACACAAACAAATTTCTTTAAAACTATTACTCTAACCAGGGTCTCCAAATTTTTAAATTTCTGACAGTTAAGCCTTATAAATAAATAAGTTCAAATTAAAACAAATTTGTTTGGGTGGTTTTGTTTTTTAAATTAAAAAAAATAAATTTGGTGTTTAACTTTTTGATAAAATATATCATATGTGGTGTTTATTATTCATAAATCGTTTAAAAGAGGATGTCCAAAGCAAAAACAAAACAAATTAACAAAATAATTATTTAACACAATTTAAGCACTTTATAAATCAATTACACTTCGAGTGTAAGAAAGAGATATTATGAAAGAGATGATAAAGTGAACATATATTAGGTTTGGTTTTACCCACTGTTGTGAGGTTAGATATTAATTCTATTGTGTTAGTATATTGTTACATCTTTTACTTAATTCACAAACATTTTTAGGGTATGCTTAAAA